GATGGTCACGCCGCAATCCCTTCTCCTCCATTCTCCTCTCGGGATCTTGGGCACGCACGCACACGCGCCCGGCGTGAGTTCTAAGCCACCGGGTCCGGGACACGAACCGCGGTCGACTATGTGGGAGTCCAGCGACATAGCCATTACGCTAACTGCTGGTTCCCAAGGAGCAAACATTTTTTGAAACCCATGTACAGATTTTAAATAATGTGCATTTTCCCATGATCTTTTGAAGATCCCCTCATATACTGGGCATCTGTGCTTAAAACTGCTAATTGTAGCAGCAGTAGTAAAATGTACTGTGTGGTGGTTACAGTACAATCTTTACCTGTTACAGGGTCACTGTAGGTACACTAGGCAGCACTGAAAGTGGCACTGTACAGCTTCACTCTTCTGCTACTGTAACATCCTACTGGCATTACATTCTGTCACACTAAGGTCACAGTCTGAGTCAGATCACATTTTAGAGTAACCATACAGTCTGAATTGGTTACTTATGTGTATACAGAACGACAGCAGCAAAGGCTTTGCCTTTAAGACTGTTCTAATGAAAAACAAGAGTTTACTCCTCAGGACCATAGTAAAGAGAAAATCAAAATACAAAAATGTCATTAAGAAGTTAACCACTAAAATACTTCTGGACAGATTTATTATTCCAAACTTACTATACAACTTCTGTGCACTTTAAGAAGTAACAACATACATATGAAACACGTTTTAAATATTCGAAAATGGATACTGGTTCAATCATATTAACGAACACTAATTTTTAGCAATGGCTTGTTTTACCCAAACATTAAACTCCCTCACCCATGAGCAAATTTGGAAAATTTTTAAATCAGTAAGTTTATATCTCTATGGAACCACAACTGAGTTCTCTTTTTGGTGGATAGTTAAGTAATTTATTTTAGGTTCAATAAATTGTCAAAATTCCTTCCAAACAACTGTCAACAATTTGAGAAAGATGTAGCATATAGTGCAGAGGGCACTAAATTTGGAGATTAAAGATCAGGGAACATGTTCACTAGTTTTGTGACTATTAATTAATATGATTTAATTTCTGAGTATGTTTTCAGAGTTCACCCACATAACCCCTACATGTTTGAAAACCGCCTGTCTAGGTCTTTTAAATATACACCGTTTTTCTTTCAGTAAAGAGCTTCCTGAGAACCTACGAAGTGCCAGAACTGTATTAGGCACACGCTGGTATTCTAACGAGGAACCAGAGACATATATGCCATAGTGACCTTTTGATGGCAGTTGCAACAATGTATGAAAGTGTACAAGATGTGACACATATCACACGCTATGGAAAAAGTCATGAAATGTAAACATATGTCCATGTTAATGAGGCTGCACCTGGATAGAATTTTAACTGTCCTATAAGCTTTATGAACACAGACCTGTCCTCACTAGCTAATCTGGTCCATCCTTTCAAGCCAACAGTTAAAACGAGCACATTCTGCAGCAGGCTTCTGAAAAATTTAAGCGTTTATAAAGAAAAGCCCAAAAATTGAACTTCTTTTTCTCATTAAAATACAAATCAAATTTAAACATGTCATTTGACATGCAGCAGCGGGCAACACTGGGTGGACGTATGTAGAAAAATGAACACAAATGTATACACTGCACATATGTCACGTAGATGCAGGTACGAGAATCTCATATCAACGACAGGCTTTAACCTTCACATTCTTAAAGCTAGTGCGGTTTAGCATTAAGAACCAGGAGATGAGTAGCCTGGCGGTCAAAGGATGAAAATTACTTTTTTTTTTTTTAAGCATTTTAAAAATGATGTTCGTCTCTCACAACGACAAAAACTTTTTGAGGTTAGTCCAAATCGCGAGCTACCTGGGGTCGGCAGAAGGCTGCAGTCGGAAAGCAGAAGGGGAACCCAGGGCCGGCTGCCTCCCTGCACTCACGCCCCGCGGCGCCGGGAAGCGTTTCAGCGCACAGCGAGGGGCCGTCCACACCGGCGAACGCGCGGGGGGGAGGGGGGCGCGCCGGCCGCGGGACGAGCCCGTTTACCCGGCCACGCGCCGTGGGCTCCACGCAGCCCTTCCTCCCTCCACCTCGTCAGACCAGGCTGTCCGCGGCGCGTCCGAAGGTTCGGGGTCCAGCGCCCGGCCGGTGCCCTCCCTGCCTGCCCTCCGCTGAGCCCAGAGTCCGCTCGGAACCGACCTAGGAGCTGGTCCAGGGCTGGGAGCCCGGTGGACACCAGCAGTTGTCCGTTCCGCACCGAC